ATAGTAAAATTAAAATTGTTATTTTACGGTGATAATCTTGTTTTCTTGTGCCCAATAATGCATAATTTTATTTGATAAACACGTTTAGATTGAATGGTAATTTATAATCAGTCACAAGAACGTCGAATCTGAATCACTTGAAAAAAACACGGGGGTGCTTAACTTTTTTCCAGGTGTATATCATTTGTGTAATCTGTTAAACCTCTGAAGTATATTTAAAAACATTTGTTTTCAGTAAAACTTTATATTTTATTCATTGTTTTCTCTACCCTAACTCTATATGGTTTCGGTCAATTTGACCAACCTCGTAATCACCAAATAAAAATTGAAATAAATCTAAATTACCATTTTTTCTTTCTAGAATGACTTCAAATTGTAACATGAAACTACCTTCATTTATCCTAACTAGCTTTAAACTTGTAACAGTATATATCTATTTAAACTTAAATTATATTATTTTATTGCTCTGTGATTGCCCTTTGAACAATTACTACTATTCATGCCATTATAAGTTGTAAATCACTTGGAGGACATGGAGCCCATGAGCTGCTTGTGTGCATGCCTTGTGAAACATTTTTATTATACTATTATTTATTTTACTTAATCTAACCTTAACTAACTTAAAGAGACCCTTAATTTTACATTTTAACTACTTTTATAATAATAAATAAATAAAAAACATGAAATAAAGAATTTACCTGCGTCTTCTTTTTTTTTGCTGTCAACTGTTGATGACACTTAACCCTACATTTTTTTTTATACTAATGGTAGTAATGCATTAAATAATTTTAATTAATTAAATAATGCAATAAAGAACATAGAATAATAACATGCAAAAAGCAGACAATTTTCCCTAACTATAACAATTTTTCTGGCTCTCTAACTGTGCAACAAGAGCCATTACAAATTCACCCAAGCTAGTCATTATCTTTCTAATGGGAATGAAGCTTGTACTAACTGAGAAATTGACAATTCTCTGTTCATAAAACAGCATAATATAATACATCATTTGATAGATGAAAACCTTAGCTTTCTAATCGTTAAAGGTAATATATAAGAAAACGTAAGAGAGAGAACTATCAACAAATTGTGAAAGAGAGGATGTGATAGGTGGGTGTGGCAAGAAGGTCTGATTTCCTATTTGATGGCTCTGTAACCAAACCAAATTGAAGGCTATAAAAATTATGATTTGTCTGAGCAATGACGATTTTATAGTGAGTAACTTACACTAAATTCTATACTTATTGGAGGAGAGGTGAAGAAAATAGAGAAGAGAGAATGCCTAGGGAAATATGTCTCATTTCTCACACTAAGGAAAATTAAGGATTTTCTTAAAACATACATACTATTAAGATATAGATTATTAGCTAAGATTTTATGCTATACTAATTGGTATAACATAAATAAAAAGTAGAGTAATAAAATTTTGAATGTAAGACACAAAAACCTTGTGTCATGCTCAGTAAAGGATACTCATGGTGACAGGGTTCAACAACTTTACTATCAATGTATTCAAAAGAAATTATTATTATCATGTACACTAATTATAATTCAAAGTTTTATATTATATCAGTTTGAATTCCTTTCTTTCAAAAGAAACCTTTGAATAAAAATATATAAATTTCAGTTTTTTGTCATGTGACACATGAGTGATCACAGATTGTAAAGTTTTGTTTCTATTACTTGAATAATAGCTCATGTATACTGTACATGTATGACTAGACTGAACCTACTGGTACATCGCTATTTATGTGTTCTTAGTTAAAATTGTAGCAGGTCAACTGGAGATATGAAAAAATAATGCTCACTACTTGACAGTAGCCACACCCACCCTTTTAATTGGACATGTTATTTCAAAATACATGTACTTATTTGATTGACATGTTTATAACCAACAGAAAGTGCTCCTTTTAAACTACAATCCCCCAACTGTTACATTAAAACTGGTGTGCAATATTCATTACCAAGTACATTAAACAGCCAAAACACTGTTTGCTGATTTTATCATTGCTAGCACTTAGTGTTATCTCTCACCTAGATACATATTAGTAAGATAAACAGTTAAATTGTATTTAGGTATATTTTAGTTAATTATACATCATTTATGCTTTAAAATTTGTGTTTTAAAGGTTTAATAATTTTTTAATATAATCCAAGCTTTACCTCAGTTTATAAAGGTTAACTTACTTGAATAGTGTAATATGCCATAAGGGCACCCATTGAGCAGGGTGGAGAAAAAGTAATAAACCATTAAGGACAGGAAAGGAAAATATAACATTAAAAATAAACTATAAGTGAAAGGGTAAAGATTTGAAATTACAAATATAACCAAAAGAAGATATATTAAAATTATTCAACAGCATTAAAAGATATGTACATATTTTTATTTCTTAATTTAAACATGTCATTGCACTGTACATTTATGATAATATCTACAGTTAGTGATAAGACAGAGAAAATTAAGAATGAAAATATATACATTTACCTTAAAAAAAACTTTTGATATTCATTTAGAAGGCTCTAGAAATTATGCAAATAAAATCTGAAAACTGTAAGATAAAAAAAAAGTTTTTATACTAAACAAGACAATCACCTTCCACTTGAACTACTCAGAATCTGAGTGCATTTAAATACAATAAATAATGAATTTTTAGTAGAAATAGAAGAAAAATTAAATATTTTACTATTCTGAAACTGCATTCCTCTCCAATTGTAAACAATTTATATTTTTGTTATATTTTTGGAACAAGTTTGAGAGAGTTACATAATCTAGTTAGAACGTAAGGTGGTTGATGTGAAAGGGTTAAGGGGGACATGTATGGGCACATCCAGGAGAAGAGAGAGCCCCTAAAAGAGATAAATCCTCTTGTGAAGGAAATCAAGGAAACAAGATTGCCCTGGAATAAGAAGTTACATGTCTCAAAGACATACAGGAATAAGCTGAACCTGCCCTGCATATGAATTGAGAAAGACACCAGTTGTACCAGTGAAAACCACATTGGATGGAGCAAGTAGAAGCCAAAGTCCATAAAATAGTGAAACAGTAGGCCTCTGAGTAAGAGCCCACTAGACCCAATGAGAAATATATGAAGTCATAGCCAGTGCCAAGAAAAGAAGACAAACTTAAGGAAATGAAAGGTGGGCTGACAAATTGGGATATGGAGAAAGCAACTGAAATCTCAACTTAGGTCACTCACATCCTGGGAGAGTACTCACTGCAAAGTGAGAAAACCATTTATCTTGAACCAAGGAAAAACCAAAGCTAGTTCAAGTGGGACAGATCTATGAAAGGATGCTAACTCTCATCTTTGTGGGAATGACATATGATTGAAGTAAAGCCTAAGAGTGGGTTTAGGAATTTTTCTATGAAATTCTAATATGATGAGGTGGAGAGTATAAGGACAGGGAAAAACCTGAGAAACTAGTAGTCTGTGGCAAAGGGAGTTGTACAAACTAGGAGAGCTCAGTCCTCACAAAACTAGAACTAAAGGGCTGTTGCAGAAACAAATTGTCTCTAAGAACTACATTGGCCAGTCCTCAATGAAGGAAACATTAGACAGTAACAAAAGGACTAGAAACAGAAGATGAGGCAAACTCATATGCTGTAGAGGATGAGAAACTTGGTGGAGCTTCCTGGTTCAAAAAAGGCAAAAAATCAAAGTGGACACAGATGGCTGACAGGATAATGATGACGTAAAGCCTCTAAAAGAAGGTGAAGTACATTGGTGGTAACATTACTAACTGTCAGAGTGCTTCCAGGCACCATTAGAGTATTGAATGATTCCTGTTGAGGATTGTGAGAATCTCCAGAAACCTCAAAAATGTGGAAACCTGAATTTATAATCCAGATTATCTACAAAAGTGATTTTTGTATAGGCCTAGGCTATTGGCCTAATGATGATATTGAAGAGTACTTAATGAAACTCATACATATTAAGACAAATAGAAATAGTACTATTAAAAACACCTTCCAACATAAAATGAGACATAGGTCCCAAAATAAAATTTATCAAAAGAAAAAAAAATCAAATTGAAAATCATTTGAAATAAATTTCTAATTAAATTGTTTAAAATTTCATATTTTGTTTTCTCACAATCAAGAAAAGTTAAGAAAGAAATATTACATTACAATTGGTAAAATTTAAAACAATGAACACAAAAATACCACTAATTCCTAAGAAAAAAACACACACTGAACAAAGCAGTGCCAAGAAAAGAATGAGCCTATGTTCTAATGCTAGTGCTCATGGAGATTATTGTACATGGAGGCCTCTTATTGGATGAGGTTGAAGTATAACGATGATTACATCATAGCCTGACATAGTGTACACTGATATGTGTAGGGCTGGGAGCTTCTTTCAAGGCTTGTGACATTTGCAAATTTCTTCACAGCAGTAGTGTGAGTTAATAGCTTTTCTATTGTACAGAGATGTGAATATAAGCTTCTGAATAAAACATTTTACAGTAAGAGGGTAATAATATCACATGGTACTACAATCATTACTCCACAAATGCAATTATTAACTAGTTAAGTTAGGAAGACATGGCAAATATGATTAAATTACTTACCAATTTGTTCATTTAATACTCCTCCATATATACCTGAGAGTTCCTGAAGATAAAAGAATGAATGTACTCATGTTTACAGACAAAATTTACAAAATAATGGGTAATAACATATATTATCTCAAACAAGGATCTTAAATCATGAGGCATAAAGAATGCAGAGAATAATCCTGAGTTAATTAATGTCAACTGAAATTAATAACAATATTTTAACCCAGTAAATGTGACGAAGCAGTTCAGTCATTAACGCTAATAATACCATTTTAGAAAAAGACAGTAATAAATTATGATGTTTCATTAAATTTTGTGCCTGAAAGTCTACATGAAAGTACTGCTCATGCATGTCTGTGCAATGAATAAGACTTCATTTATTCAAAGTATATAGTGACTTAAGAAAATTGGTTTAACTTTGCATTTAAAATAATATAAATCAACCCTAAATAATAATTTTGAAAATAAATACATTTAACTCCCAAACAATTAGCCTATATAAATTCTAATAGTTAAAAATAGTTGTTTTTTGTTTATATTTTAACTAATAACTTGGAATGTTCAACAGCCAAAAATGAACATTTACTAACACTGAAAATGTATTTCCGATAGGTACTTACCTCCTGTCACCCAGTTATCTCGACCTTGATTTGCCCTTTACACATTGCTAAAATTATTTCAACAGTAAACCAGTCATTTATACCCCTTAACTCTTGCACCATTGATGCAATATGTGCTGATCATGTGACTACCCTCCACCAATCATACTGTGCCACCTATACTAGCACAGGTAGCTCCCTCTACAACTTCAGCACAATCCTCACTTTCAAGAACTGGCAGATACAAGCCAGAAACACCAGCAAATCAGTGGGGAGGAAGAGCAGGAGGTGGGTGAGAAGAGGTACGTATCTATCAGAAATACATTTTCAGTGTTAGAAATTGTTAACTTTCAAAATGATACTACCTCTTCTCACCCAAAACTAGAATATCACATTGCAAAGGTGAAGGGGCCAGTGAAGGTGCAAAAGGAATCATACAAGCAGAGAACAACCACTGTGAAAGAACAGGTGTGCCACAATTATAAAAGGAGGCACATCTGTTGGGTATAGCACTACTTCTGCAACTGGTATGTTCTTCTCCCAGTAATGAACAAAGTAAGATACATAGGGTGGAACTTAATAGACAGGCACCATGTGATGTAAGACAGATTTTGTCCATGGACAACAGACAGTACATAAGATATATGAACTGAGCATAAGCACGTGACACAATTATAGTCAAATCTGAAGAAGCAGCCTGGAAGCAGATATAAGAATATGTGGCTAGGGCTAAATAACTATAAATATATATGAATAGGCCAAAAGTGGTTTGCCCAGGCAAAAACATCAAGGGAAAGTGCTTTGGATTTATATTAAAGTAGTCAAGTGTGGTCAGCCCGGGCAAAAACATCAAGGGAAAGTGCTTTGGATTTATATTAAAGTAGTCAAGTGTGGTCAGCCCGGGCAAAACATCCAGGGGAAGCACCTTAGTACACGTCAGAGTGTGTCAAGTGCAGTCCATCCAGGCAGAAAACGTTCAGTGGGAGCCCCTTGAATGGTATTTTTTGTTTAATATATATTATACGTAACAGATTGTGTGATCAACAAGTGTGGTCAGCCTAAGTAAAAACAACTGGCCTTGTGAAATTCTGAAGTACGTCAAGTGCAGTTCATCCAGGCAGGAAGCCCTTTGCATAAAACTAACCGATTTATATGCTGAATGTAATATTTTGAGAGATCAACAAGTACGGTCTACCCAGACAAGAAACATAAGGGGAAAGAACCTCGTGATAAGATGTACTATGACAAGTGAGGTCCATCCAGGCAGAAAACATCCAGTGGAAGTGCCTTGCATAAAATTGTTTGTGTCATATCTTGTATGTATGTCATTTAGAGATCAACAAGTGTGGTCTGCCCAGGCAAAAACATCCGAGGGAAGCACCTTATGTTTGATTATGTCAAGTGCAGTCCACCCAAGCAGAAAACATCCAGTGGAAGTGCTTTGCATAAATAAAATATTATTTTGTGAACAACAAGTGTGGTCAGCCCAGGCAAAAACATCCAGGAGAAGTGCCTTGTGTTTGATTGAGTAAAGCAAATGTAGTCCATCTGGGCAGAAAACATCCAGTGGTAGCGCCTTTCATAAAATTTATTTTCATGACCAACAAGTGTGGTCTACCCGGGAAAAAAACATCCAGGAGAAGTGCCTTGTGTTTGATTGAGTAAAGCAAATGTAGTCCATCTGGACAGACAACATCTGGGAGAAGCTCTTTGGATGCAGCATATTATGATATTGTATAATATGAAATATAATGACAATAGACCTCTTCTCATAGAATGGATACAAATGGCTATGAAGTTTGTTTTATCATACAAGTCCAACTCCAGAGGAAACCTCCATGGTCCACCATTCCAACAACTGGGAATCGGAAGTGGCAAGGACTCCCATGCTCCACTAGAAGAAAAGGTGTGGGATATATTCTGTATCAATATCTTACTTTGAATAAATATTTTCTCTCAGGATATTACTCTGAATAGATACTCTCATAAGAATAAGTTATCAATTGATCAGCTATTCATTTAAATAATAAAACACCTGTGGCCTAGTGCATCGAGTTTGTCTAGCCACATTGATCACAAATGTGTTCTAGTTAGAAACATCTTTATCATTTTAAACAATGTTGGTGACTTAAATTTAATTTAAATCAATTTTTGTATATAGTTTTACTAATAATGTAAGTATAAGTGGAACTTTATTCTGTATGATGTAAAGTTTGATGGCTCTATTACAAAAAAGTCCTTTCTTACCTCTTCCACTACAAAAATATGAATGTCATTATAAGAAGTACAAGTAAAACAGTAGTTTTTTCCAAACTATATGGATAGCTTGATAAATTAAGAAGATAAAGTAAGGAAAGTTTGTATTTTTGAATTATATAGTATGTAACGTATGAATATACATATATACACACATTTGTTTATTGTTAAGCACAAAGCTACACAATGGGTCATCTTTTCTGTACACATCAAAAGTATCAAAACCTAATTTTTATATTATAAGTCTTTAGACTTATTGCTGAGCCACTAAGGGCTATTTATATACAGTGCTATATTTACCTATAGGCTTGGCAGGCTGAAGTCTAGGGCCCCAAAATCTAGGGGGCTTCCGGCAAAAAGATGCATAATATTTTTGACGCTGTCATAGGCCTTTCTTACACATGCTGTCATAATGCACTGTAGTTTCTAAACTACCTTTCAGTAATTTTCCTTCCACACCATTTCAGAATAATACTGTCTTAAGCCAATAACTCGAAACTAGCATTGATTTCTGTATTGATTTTGCCCTTCCAGGAAAGGAGTGAGATAGATAAGTCGAAAACACAGCTGTGCAAGTATCTGCAGAGCCGCAGAGGACGTTGCTGTTTTCATCAGTAAGGGTAGTAATAAAACTACGCTGATTTGTTGTGTCATTGTTAACGATAGGAAAAAGCATACTCATTTTGTATATGGTTATCAAGTTCAGGAATCTCTTAGCTGCAATAGACTGGAACAATGAATTTATAAATAAAAGCTGTATTGAAATATGGGAAATATTTAAGTGTAAGTTAGATAAAATTCAGAGAGAGTGTATTCCGTACAAATCTATTCGTAAAAATAAAGAAAGTAAGCCCTTATGGTGGAATAGAAATATAAGCAGGTTAATTAATAGTAAAAAGAAAAAATATAATATATATAGACAGACTAAAAGGGAAGAGGATGGTATTGCTTATAAAATTGTAAGGAATGAGTTAAATAGGATGATACGGAAAAGTAAAAGGGAAAGATAAACTAGCGATGAACAAAAATAAAAATCCAAAAGAATTCTTTAAGTATTATAAAGCAAACAACAAAATGAAAGACAGGATAGGACCTTTAAAAATAAGCGACAGGATACTTGAAAATAATAGTGAGATAGTCGAAGCCTTAAATAATAATTTTAGTGCAGTCTTCACTTCCTAAAGAGCAAATTCTCCTAGTTTAGGAAATACAACTAAATAGTAAACATGACAGGCCTTTCTGGTCTTTAATTGTAGCATATTAACAACTGCTTTGTTATACAGTTGTTACATGTATATGTACGTATGTGCGTATATGTATATGTATGTGTGTATATGTAAAATATGTTTGTATATGTATAGATGTATATATGTATATGCATGCATGCATGCATGTATGTGTATATGCGTATATATTGGTTACATAGTTGAATAATATTAAGGTAGATGCGGCCACTTGGCCACAAACTGTAAATATTCTGCATGAAATGACTTAGCAGTTGCCTGGTGAAGGGATGGGAGTAGATAGATGGATGGCCTGTTCAGTGTGAATATATAATTGTATCCTTTTTTTCTCGCAATGCCAAATGGTGTATGCGTGTGGTTGTTCTCAAACTTGTTAATTTTTAAAGTTATAATTTTATTTTCTTTCCTCAATACTGTTCATTTTCTTGATTTTTTGTATTCTTTCATTTCAATTCATATGCATTCAGACAACCTAGATAGGGCCCGGTGGCTTTTTATTGTCGGTGGCTGTTTTTATGTCTCTTTTATAACTGTTAAAAATTACTTTTACTTTTTATTTTCAGATTCTAATCTGAGCATGAGTACAAAAGATTTGAAAGTGGTGCTAGCAAGCGCCAGAGAAAGAAACTTGAAAATGATATGGTAAAGAAGTTAAGACCAATCACTGCTTTCTTGCACCAGTGCCAGCGGTGAAGCAGAGACATTAATACTAACACAAGGAAATCAGTGTGGTGGAGCTATCCAGCCAACTACTAGCATTCAACCAGAAGAAAAACCTCCCTGAAACAGAAACATCGAAGCAGGACGCAGAACAGCAAGCTGATTATGAGGAAACAGACATGATGCCGGCTCAAAATGAAAATATAGAACTAATTCAAGAGTCACTTACTGGACAGGGAGAAGCTAAAAAGCCACAAGAAAATAATGTGGATAGTCAGAATGTTCAGCTCACACCTGGTAAGGTTGGCCAAGTCCAAGCTATTCCAGATGCAGATATAGATGATACCAAACATAGATCTACTGTAACAGACGTTGGTTTGTGGACAGAATTATCTCATGAGGAAATATCCTATTGTGTAGAGAGGGGCCCCTCTCAAGTTCAGCATTGTTGTGGACCATTTTCAAATTCCAAGCGAGTGTACAAAAAGCAGTCCAGGTTGTGCACAAAAGCTCTTTTTTATTCAACAAAAGTCAATGGGGAAACATATAGCCGAGAGTGGCTTGTGTATTCTCCCTCAAAAGGCCGGATTTATTGCTTTGTTTGTAAACTCTTTCCATACGTTGCATCTTCTGCTACAGCTTTAGCTTCTGAAGGGTTTGATGATTGGCATAACTTCTATCTTATCCAAACTCATGAAAACTCAAAGAAGCACAGGAATGCCATGTTGACCTACCTAATAAGAAAGCGAGGGCAAACATTAACTTCAAAGCTAGAGGAACAAATAAAAGCAGAACAACAGTACTGGCGGCATGTCATGGAGAGAATTATCACTGTAATATGCACTCTTGCAGAACGAGGCTTACCATTCAGAGGAAACAATGAACAATTTGGATCTCCAGATAACAGCAATTATATTGGTCTTTTAGAACTGATAGCAAAATTTGATCCATTTTTACTCGCTCATATCAATCGGTATAGAAATTCCGGATCAGGAAATACCTCTTATTTGTTGAAAATTGTATGTGAGGAAATGATTCAGCTCATGGCAAAAAAAAGTTAAGGACGCAATTCTGAGCGACGTGAAAAATGCTGGATATTTCAGCTTGTCAGTAGATTCCACCCCTGACATTTCACATACTGATCAATTGACTTTAATTATCAGATATGTATCTCCTGAAGACGGTTTACCAAGTGAGAGATTTTTAACTTTCCTTGAACTAAAAACCACTCAGGAGAAGGCATGGCTGATTTAATGCTTAACTATCTGACTAGTGAGCTTGAAATTGACTTTAGAAAATGCCGAGGGCAGTCTTACGACAATGCTGCCAACATGGCTGGTAGGTACAACAGTATGCAGCAAAAAATACTCGAAAAAACAAATTTGCAAGATTTATTCCATGCGCTGGTCACTCTTTAAATTTAGTGGGCCGTTCGGCTGTTGATTGCTACCTTGATGCAGTGAACTTGTATGGCTTTATCAATGAAATTTATACCTTCTTTTCATCCTCCACAAAGAGATGGGCAGTTCTAAAATCATTTTTGCAACTTCAGTACTCTGATGTTAATGAAAAGGGTGATACCAGGCTTCAAGCTAACAATCTTTCACAGAAAATGGAAGAACTGGAATTTGTGTTTTGCTGCATTTTTGGACCCGTGTGCTACATCATTTTCACAAGGTCAGCAAAGCCATTCAGAAATCAGAACTGTTATTGAGTACTTGTGCATGTTTGTACAGTTCATTTCAGGATTTTTAAGCAAAGTTATAAAAGATTTTGATGAGCTTGAGCAACAAGCAAAAGCCACCTTGCCAAATGTTAACTACAGAACTGTCACAAGGAGACAAAGAGTAAGGAAACGGCAAGGAAATGACGGAAATGCACCTGGTCCTGATGCCTTAGATGAACTCTCTTCAAGAGATAAGTTTAGGATAAAATCCTTTATACCTTTGCTAGATGCACTTGATGCCAATTTAAGAAGAAGAGCTACTGTGTACAGTGATGTTACACAAATATTTTCCTTTATTGCTAATTTGATGGCATCTAAGCAAGAAATTCAGCAAGGTGTTGAACTGTAGATGGAAGCATACCCAGATGTTGACCTGAAACTTACTGATGAATATTTGCACTTTCACTTGTACGTGAGACAGAGCCATAGGCCTACAGAAGAGCACTCTCTGTCTCATATAGACTTTTATCAACTTACGTACAAGGAAAAAATTCAGATGGCCTTCCCTAAAGTGGGAGCAATCATGCGGCTATTTCTTAGCTTAATGGTCACTAACTGCTCAGGAGAGAGAGGTCTTTTTCAAGACTCAAGAGAATTAAAAATGAATTAAGGGCCACAATGTCTCAAGAGAGGTTGTCCACACTGAGCATTCTATGCATTGAAAGTGACAAGCTTAGACAAACAAATTTTGATAAACTTTTGAATGATTTTGCTATGAGGAAGGCTAAAAAAAACTTTTTAAGTCTTAGTGTGTTTGATGATTGTAGTTTCTTTGTTTCTTAATATGTATTTTAAAACTAACTGTTTAATGACAACATATAGTAGGATCTAAAAGTGCCACACTCACTGTCAGGTAGTCAAGATCATCTTATTAACACTTCCCAGCCAATTAAATTTGTAAGCTCAAGGTTTTTTTAAAGAATATAACAGTAAACTTACAATTTCATTTTCCTAAAAATTCCTGCTTATTCCACAAAATCTTTACAAAGTTTGGTTATTGCAAAAGTTTTTCACAATGTTAATTTTAACATTTATGTATTTTTTTTCAGTCACTACGGTATTTAACAATAACATCTTATGTCCTTTAGAGGAGGAATTGTGAATTGCGGAATTTTAAACACCCGTCATCATCCTCGGCTTCACTGAATTTTGTTTAAAGCACTTTTCTATCTTCCTCTAGTCGTGAGGGTGGGGGATTGAAAGGGGCCTCACAAGTGGGATAGCCTAGGGCCTCTCTTCATCCAAATCCGGCCCTGTTATATATATATATATATATATAGTGCAAGTAAAAAAAATAATAATCACTATAATTAAAATATAGTAACCTATTACTTGTACAAAATATCAATACCTCATTCAAATCTACACTGAACATGTTGAAATGAAACGGTGACCTCAAAGACTCAGCCATTCGTAGAGCAACAGACCCTAATGATCGAACTTGACGGTGGCTCCCAGCATTGCCTGGTATAAACAATACTGGCAATCCTTCCAGTTGACCATTTCTGTTAACAAAATTAAGTTGCACTTGGAATATAATATGCTCATAAAGTACATTATGCATAATATACTATAGTTCTCAGATCAGTTAAATCAGAAGTAATTTCACTGAATAAATAGTATATAAGCATCAAATTAGCTTATGTTTAAGAATAAAATAGTGACAACATAAAAGGAAAGCCTTTCTTTTATTTTAAACATACCTCAATTAGATAAAAACAATTAAGCAGACTAATAATTTTCAATCTACTTTAAATGTAAGTGTAAATTCACAAATAATTAAAATTGACAATTTTATCAAAATAACTAAACCATTCCTTGAAAGATTATTTAGGCAGAGTATTCATGATGAAAATAAGTTGAATGGATGGCAAATGCTTGTTGTAGAAACATAAGTGTAGAGGACAATGTTTTGAAAGTCTTCCGACTTTCCTGAAGACAAAAGGCAGAAGACTTTTGAAACGTCATCCTCTACACTTGCGTTTCTACAACAGGCAGTTGCCATCCATTCAACTTAGCTGTATTCATTATAATTAAACCATCTAAAGAAATTAATTAAAATCCTGAAAACATTTAATTCATAATAAAAAAGTCTAATTACCTCAAGATTTCTGCATATCTCCTGTGAAATAGAGAAAGAAAATAAACACACACAATATATAATCATGTCAACTGAAGACTATCTACACATGCATCCTTATTATTACCACACAAACTGGTTACAATCAGTGGTATAGAAACTTATTTTTGACAGATGGAATGACTTTCAGCAAATGTGAAATTGTCAGATATCATTTACACATGAAGGGTATTATGATTATTATTGAGTAACTAGTGACACTATAAAATATACACATTTTCTTTTTAATTTTGGTCCTCACTGGAATTATAAACTTGAGGGTGACCACTGCTGCTCCCTATTACATCCTCTACAAAATCTAGGGCATTGATCATTCCCTTCCCCTTACTAACCTGGTGGCAACTCAAGATTTACAAAATAAATATATTTTAATTTCCAACATTAGTTCAAATCATAGTAGGTGTACTATCAAGAACATTTCTGGATATTGTTATCTGAAAGACATTGTGTGGTATAAAGTTAGGTATTTTATATAAAGTACAATCTTCTTACTCCACAAATAGATTAAGAAAATGAACAGAAATGCTTATTCAATATTATAATAGGGTTCAAAAAAGTCTTACCATAATCAAAACCATGTAAACCTTACAAGCGTTATGTTTATTTCTTTGAATTTATTTATAATTCTTGCTTTTCAAATTTCCATAACAAATTACACAAAACTATCAAATTTGTCATAAAATTACTCATATAAGCTTCAATTTTTTTTAAAACAAAATCATTCTTTTAGTTTTCCTTGCAAAATGTAATACAAGATTTGTTTTGATTTACTAACACCATTTTTTTAAACAATTTTAACCCCACCTTTCTTTAAAAACTTGAGCTAATGATTAATGAAGTGACTCTTATATACATTTAAATATAACCAAAATATGTAATGACCTCTTCATCATTAAAATTTTCATTAATACAATATTACACATTCAGTAGTACATGTTTAAACTCATCCATCAGTACATATAATGAATAGCTCTACTAGGCACAATTAATCATAATCAAAACTAAAAAAAGATACTATACATCAACACTGAAACCTACCTAAAGTCCAAAGGTAGAAAAAAACACTTATTCAAACAGGAATACTGATTGATCTACTTTATTTATTGGTCTTCCACATTATACATTTTTTGGTATCAGGTTGAAATAAAATGCATGTATTGTGTTAAGACTCAAAATTTGGTTTTCAGTGTAACTTGATTTAAAGTTGCTTTTGCAATCAAAGAAAGAAATACTTAAAGGATCTTCTCCACTTTATTAAAATGAAAGTAGATTGATTAAATTTTAGTACTAGCAAAATTAATTTGTGTTCAGTGTATACATAATTTAGATTTTATGGAAGGCACTGGAGCCTGATTAGTATAAATAAAAATAAATTTTGAAATTATTTTTCTAAGATTAAGTATCACATACATGTATTCATGATACTAGGAAAGGACGCAGAACTACCCATGGGCTGAACATGTGTTATCTCCAGAGAATCACAAAGGAACAAATTAGCTAGAATGAAATAAAGTTAACAACTTTCTTGAACATGTGTTATATGAAATGTGCACATACTATGAAGTAACATATAAATTTAGAATAATGCTACATTTGTATAAGATGATAAAAACTCAAACTATAAGGTGTTTATATATACCACAATATCTGGGATTCATAACCTTTGAGACTGATGTAAAATTTGTTACACTTGAAAACTTGGCACGAGTAAAGCTCATATGCTTAAGAAATATAATTTTCCTGATATAATTCCAAACAAAATCACTGTAAAACTTAACTATATGTACAAGGTACATGTATAAAGCTTTAAATGTATGAGTTATGTATAAGTATGCTAAGTTACACGTATAACATTTTATAATGAAAATAAAGCAGTTGTGCTGCATAATGGCTCCATGCAACAACTATTTCAACTGTATAACTTTGATGAAATTTCAATTTTTGATAACTTGTCATGATGATTACAAAGTAATAGAAACTATAAATGAAACAAGACTATTTAGTCTGACAGAATCTAGCAAATTTGAAAATATAACTTGTCTAGATCAAATAAATTCAATACAGTATACTTACCCTTCACCATATATGAACAATTTGTATCTTGGAAACTTGTGCATTACAGGAGAAGGCATAGTAATTCTCTAAGGAAACAAACATCTTTGTAAATTCTAAAATATTACTACACATATTATACACATTTTATCAAATAATATTTATAATATTTTTATATATATTTATTCATAACATTCCAAAAAACCTTTAGCTCAAATACTGTTAAAAGGTGGACCTTATTTTCTGCAGAGCAAGCAATAAAGCTCTTCCCAGGCTCACTTTTAAAGTTGAACAGTCCACTTAACAAAACGTTCTGTTGTTTTCTTGTATTGTGTTTATTAACATTCAGTTTTGGCTTCACAAGAGGTATGTTAGAAAGTAACAAAGATTGGGCTACAAAACTAATATCTAGTTTAAGCAACTTAAGCTACAAAAAGGGGCTTTATGCTATCAGAATTGTTTCCTGGAATTAGGATCAACTTTATGTTAATGTTTTCTTACACTCAAAATGTATTTCCAATAGGTACTTACTTCCCCTCACACAAAGCTATCTTGATCTTATTTCTGCCCTCTAAGAATTGCTGAAAAAAATGTAATGCTCAGTGCACCAGTCTATATACTGCACCAATTTCATGCCACTATTGAACAGGTACATAGCATGTGACTACCCTCAACCAATAATATTGCACTACCCATACTAATGCAGCTAGCTCTATCTGATATTCTTGTTCAATTCTCACTTTTGAGAATTGGCAGGCTCTAAAGGAAGAACACCGACAGTGGGGAGGAAAGGTGGGAAGCGTGTAATAAGAGGTAAGTACCTATCGGAAATATATTTTCAGTGTAGGAAAATGTTAACTTCCAATACATTCTTACTTCCACCCACATAAAGCTAGAATCCCACACTGCAAAGGTGGAGAAGTCAGTGTAGGCGGTCAACACTGAAACCAAGTGGAAAGCGACCACCCAGAATGAATGGTTGTGCTCTGAGATTAAACCGAAGCACACATGTAGGGTACCGTACTACTTCTGGAATGTGTATGCTTTTCACCCTAAAAGCAGGAAATAGATCTTATACATGAGGAAAAAAAATGGATGTGCATTAGTGCAGTTTGTTCCGAGAGGAGCAACACATAGTGAAATATAAACAGAATGAACTATGTAGATACTCAACAGGAAAGACAAGGTTCCATAACTCGTCCTCGGCATTACGAGGTTGAGGTCAAAACAAACAAAAAGAAATATTGTTTAACATAAACATAGTGGCTAGGTCAGGTGGACTGTGTTACATATACTCATCAACCTCAAACATAAATAAGCAGAGTGTCATATGTCAATCAACCAGAATTACAAAGAAAAAGTTAGCAATCAGATAAAACAGGACAAACTCCCAAAACCACAATAAGAGCAAGAAGTACAACAAACCAAACCCAGCATTATGGGTCGTGGGTTTGCCTCAACTCCACCGTATGAAGAGGGCAATATCTGTAACCAGTATTATGAGCTAAAATCATAACTCACCCAACAATAAATGCAGGGAAGAGACATCTTGCATCCAGAATTATGAGTTGGAGATAAAATGTATGCTCAACTGTAAGAACAGTATACACATGCCCCGCTGCCAGTATTATGAAGCAAATGAAGCCCCCCCCCAAAAAAAACCTCAATGGCAGGTGCAGAGAAAGAACCTCCTGCAATCAGAATTAATGAGAAGAGGGGCCTTTACTGCACACAACCATAGGAGCAGGGTGGTGTCATCGTGAACCTGGTATTATGAGGAGGATCTAGTGTAGGCTGGTCCTGCTCCAACCAACAGTGGTCCACCTGGGAAAAATCATTCAGGGAAAATGGAAAGAAGGAAACCAGTTTTGTCCTCTTCTCACTGAGTGGAAAATCATGTGTATGTAGAGCAAATTAAAATTCAACAATGCACTTAGGAGGAAGCCTCTATGGTTCACCACTCCAGTGACTGGGAACAGGTAAGGACTCCCTTGCTCCACTGGAAGAAAAAGGGGAGGATGAGGTGGGAAGTCCAGAGGAACATCACACAAGAGAAAGTTAATGATGTCAAAAAACATGTAGGTTCAAGAAGTCTTGATACAAAATAATAAAAACCCTATAACCCAAGTATTTTTGAAAGGTGGACAAAGGGAATGATGTGCCAGTATGGCAACTGCAGCAGGAAAAAGAAAACTAGCAAAACACATCTCAAACATACAGCAAAACCAGAAAATGCATCAACTGAAGACCTGATTAGCTAGCTGTAAAAAAATGGAAGGGGAAAACATCTGAAGAGGTGTAGAATGTGACAGTCCAAGATAAGAAGTTGCTGGAAAAAGAAAGTCCAAATAGTCTTCTCCTTCATTGTATTCTTCCTCAGAAATATTGTCAAGATAAAAAGAAGAAATTGCCAACTGAACATATGAATCTAGCTCCCTGCGATTTAAGGACTGTATCTCCTCTTCAGGTAAAGTTTAACCCAATTCCTTGGAAATCGTCCCTGTAGCATTTTTAACTGTAACTGGAATTTCCATAGTTGATACATTGAATTGTAAATTCATACTAAGAACTCTTATAATTTGGTAACAAGAAACAAATGCCAAAAAAATTGTTGAAACAACTGAATGTTAACACAGTAAAACTGTTGAAAAAAAAAAAGATTTGAAATGGCAAAGAAGCACAATCGTACACAGAAGCCACATGCAAAAAACACGTCTAAACAATGCTTTGCCAACTAAGAAACTAAGGGTTGAGCACAAATAGCAGAGAGAGAGCTAGCTGCATCAATATAGGTGGTGCAATACTATTGGTGGAGAGTAGTCACATGCTATGTACATGTTCAATAGTGACACAGAATTAGTGGGGTATATAGACTGATGCTTAAAGGGAAGAAAGAAGATTGAGATAGTTTTGTGTGATAGGAGGTAAGTTCATATTGGAGTTCAGGTGTTCTCTCATTGTTAAATGCAACCTGTCTGAATTGAGGAATAAATAGGTTGGAAATAAGAACTTGAAAAGTAGCGATAATAGTTTAAGCTTCACAAACCAAAGCTTAGTATAGAGTTGTTCTTAAAGGAGGCAATTTGGCCAACTGAGATCGTTAAATAACAATGTAGAGTTCAAACCTTTCATGTTTAGTAAAACAATTAAACAGTTCTCATGAGCCATAAACTTGTAAAAATGCCAACATGAACTGCATATACTACAGTAATATGCCAGCTAACCATATCAGGACAAACTGCATAAGGTTTTAGTTTTCCATAATAAATTCTATAGTACAGAGATAGGTCTGAAAAACAAACATGTACCAAGATTTGTAAAAGTTATATCTTCTAAGCTTTGAGTCTTTATTACTAGCACTATCTTTCAGAACTCAGAATCTATCCTTAAAGAAAATTTCTCTAGCTTACTTTTTAATTTTTTCCAAAGCTTTATTGTAAAAGCTTTTTCTGTAATATCAGAGCTCATCAAGATGGCTATGATACAGCAGACAAAGTAGTGGTTGAGACACTATTTATATTAGCAGATTGCTTGACAATAAATGTTACAGTGTGAACTGGATTACATCAGTGAAACACAATTTTTCATCAATTCTACATCAGTGTTAATAAATTTAATACAAGCTTTGACAAAAAAATACAACCTAACCTAAAATATTCAAAAACATTATGGTTCAAAACTAATTTGGGCAATGTCCTAAACTTAAGAAGTTTGAATTTTCTTTTTTAAGCTTGGTTCCAGTCCTATCACTACCAACAGAATAAAATCTTGTGATATGTAGTTCAGAGACTGCACACTGGTAGAACCCTAAAATACAACTATATTTGAATGTGAAGGGATTTTATTATTATGGTTGATAATACTCCCAATAATTTGTGGCATATCCTATCAAGAAACATTAGAAATTACTTATATCAGTAGTTTTTTAATCTGATATATTTCAATTCTCAGAAAACTACAAAACTCTCATTTATATGTATATTGAGGTTATCATTTGCTGGCTATTTCTTAAAAACATAGTCCCCTTCAAACTTTTCAGCACTTTACCCATATTCCACATAAATGAATTCAAATACATGATTCATACATTGTATAAAGAAATTATAACTTCTACCAGAAGGGTTTTTTAAAATATTTAATAAAAAATTGAATTAACAATAATTAGTCGTAATTATGAGTAACAGGCAAACCACAGAAACTTCTATGATCACTTTGCTTTCAGTCATCAGTTAGATATACTTACTATTAGTGGTTTCTTTGCCCCTTAACCCAAGAACACCTAAGTGTGGGCCTGTAACTTGCCAAGTAGGCAAATTACTAAATGCCAAAACAGAGCTTTCACAAGTAAAGCTTCATATATTTTGTCTTACACATTGGGTCAATGTATTTATTGCTATTTAATGATTTAAATGTTAATGTGTTTAATCTATCTAATCTGATAACCAGCTAAAGTATATACTGAATTAATTCATTTTAATATATCAAATTACAAGAACAAATATAAACCTGTGTCTCATTTCATATGTGGCAAAATAGCAGTTAGATGTCCACTGAATAATAGCACAGCCTGTGTGTGTGTACAAGCTCTTATGCTACTGGACAAGTTCTACTTATTTTTAATCCACTAGCATATTTAAGGTGACCTTGCTAAAATGCATCTCTCCAACAGGGCTACGAAGACAACAAACCAAATGTCACTAAAGTGGAAAAATGGTTTAAGGAAAGTTAAAATTTGAATAGGTTTAGAGATAACAAATATAGTTTTAAATCTATATGGTGTAACAAATATTGAAACGAGTATTTAAGATTAGAATAAAGAAGTTTATTTATATCCTATAGTGATTATGTTAATTATGCAATTTATACTGAGCCAATGACAACATTGTGGTAAATAATTGGCCCAGCATATCTTTGGGTGCATTTTAATAAGCATTAGTTTCTGGTATTTTCAACCTGAGCAACATCTAATACAAATGGGCTATATGACCAGGTCATAGACAGGTTCAGGTACAGTCATCCCATATTTAAAACAACTGAGCAGAAGGAGAGCATCCAGTCAGAAACAACCGTCAACTACAGATCACCGTATAGCATAATTCCACAGCTAAAGGTACAGAGTGTGTTCATAGGCATAAAGCAAACTTGATTCTTGTAATTTCTAATACACAACCAAATGAGCTAACCATTAGGCCAACCTAGTCCAAGAATTAATTAGCTTAAAAAAATATCAATGTATATATAATCCAATAAAAATATATATATATATACACACACAAATACATGAACCATAAAATATAAGTCTAAAGTAACATTTGACATATATGAAACTGAGAATTTATACATGATTTAAATTTTGTCATTACCATACACAGATCTATAGGAACGATATCTATGTATATATTTATTAATATTTTAACAAACCCTATTATAGAATGTTATTTATAATTTATAACATAATGAGAATTGAAATATTCTTTCAATTGTTAACTAATATTAGTAATAAGATATTATGTAATAGCTTAAAATTAATAAAAAAATATTAATAATTGTATTGTTATACTATGGAATATCAAGCAATATGGCAGTTGTGACCACACCTGTTTTTGAGTTAAGCAACAGCATGCTTCTTTTGAAAAAACAATTTATTCCACCAGTTGACCAAATGACAATTATATTTAAATTGTAAAAGATTTTTTAAATTTAAACAACCTCACTTCCAGACAGTTTATCTTAACTTCCAGGAGCAGTAATGAGTTCTCATCTTATAAGAACCTAAATACCAAACTGAGACAACCACTTCATGCAGTTAGCAGCTCAGATTTCACTGGCAACATGTTAATTGTATGTTTATTGCACCATGTATTGTAGTCAAAATGGAATACTTGGTAAATTTTATACGAAGTTCACAAATATAAAATATTTACAATTATATCTTTAAACATGAGTTTGCAACATAATATTCATCAAGATATTGACAACATTTCATAAACAGTGACTCCAAATGACTTACAAGTAAAACTTAATTGGTACTTTGTGCAGAAGTTGACCAGTGATGTAAAATATCTATACTACAACTTGTCTCTTTGCTTCAAAGGTAAGTACTATGGTTATTTTTTTTCCCTCAAAATTCCCAATAAATATGATACAACAAAATAGAGCCCTATAATACGAAAAAACTGATTATTGAATAATACAGTAGTAATTTTCATATAACATTTCAAAAATAAATAATATGGTGTTAAAACATTGAAAAGCATTTAATAAGATCTTGTTAAACCTTTAAATTAGTAAGCTCTTGTCTCATTGTTATAATGTTATTGTTAAACTTAACAAAACGCCGACCTGTAATTCTCAAAAAGATAAATCAATAAGTCTAACGTAGTAACACTGAAACGTTACTAGGTAACGATAACACATTTTCGACATTACTTCATTAACTGTTAAAGATAAGTGAATAACATTAATTTAAAACTTAAACCTATCTGTAGTATCCTTATTTAGTTCTGATTTTACACCACCAAAGAAAACTTACAATATACTGCGGTTTTTCAAACATGTATGTCATTTCACATCTGTTTGCTTCAAAATGTGTCAGATATTCAAAGAGGCCAGTGAGACAGAATATGAAAGATATAAGCGAAATTGCCCACTTCCATTTCTCCATTGCTGGGCTGCTTTAGTACGACGCCGTAAGTGTAACTAAGTACAATCCGTAGCAACACCAAAGCTTTTCTCACATGTTTCTCTTGGCCCTCTATCGTTTACGAGTTAACACTAGTGATTGAAAAGTTTAGAGGTGTTATCTTCTCTTTCGCCCAGTATTAAATATTATAATAATTCCATTGCACATTTTTGATAAATTCGGACAGTTAAAAAAAAATTCCACAGATGCCTAAAATCTCATCATATAGAAAGATTACGTAATAATAACAGAAAAGTTTCATCATAATATTATGAATTTTCTCTGAAGGAGGAAAATCGATTTTAACATTATATTTGTTTGACAAGTATTGGGTGAAAAAAATATCGCTAAATAAAAAAAAGCTATGTAGAGCTGGCTGCTGAACTTGAAAAATAGAACCAAACAAGAAAGGAATGGAAGTGAAAATATCACTTGATCCATCTAATGATCACATAGCAGACTAAGTTGTTTCGACTGAACATGGAGAATAAAATCCATACATTACTGGCTTTCCTACTTTGTCTATCGAAAGTTCGATGTTTGAATAGAATCTCAGCTTTCATCATTTTACCTTTCCTTTAGTTAACTTTAGAATATTACATTTGGGACTATTTTATAACAGAGTAACATTTTACGATTCGAAGTTCTGATTCTATTTGTTTTGCCTGTGAGGAAGTCAACAATGCAGGAATTATATTCTCCATGTAAAGTCGAGACGGCTTAGTTTGCTATGTAGTCATACGCCGGAATAAGTGATATATCCACTTTCATCCCTATCTTGTTTTGTTCCTTTTTGCAAGTTCAGTAACCAGCCCAACATATTTTTTTATTTACCGATAAATTAGTTTCCTAACAACTGTTTGTTTACTTTTTTTATAAGATGACGTACGGGAGGTACCAGGTTATCAAGCTTTATAAATTTTGCGTAGAGTAATAATATTTAAAATAAGTAATCAAAGATCGTGAATACTATTTTGTTCTATCAAATGATGATAAAATTATAGTTACTGCTAGGATTAGTTAGGCGGTAGGCTTGTTGAAGAAAGATGATAATGAACGAAATAAGAAACCCTGGTTTTGAATATTCGCCTGTTTTCGATTATGGGACACCCTGGATAGCTGAAAAGTGGCATATACACCGGAGATAATACGACTATGCCAAGTAGCTCTTCATATCTAGTTTTTGATGACCTAAATGTGTATTGGTTTTTTTACTCCACTTCATAAGTAATATAGTGGTTGGCTCCCTAAAGACACCGATTGTATAGTGTACAAAACATTGATTATTCTACATGTTACAGTCATCTGATGTTCATCTATTATTGTGTGGTAATTCCTGTTTCACCCAGTACTTAAGATTTTAAAAAGGAACACTATATTTCTGTAAAAAAAAAAAAAAAACTAACTTCGAGTGGTAATAACATCGTTTACACCAGAATTATGATTTTTTTAAATTTTACATATAATAACAATAAAATAAGTAGTCAAAGATCTTGAAGACTGGTTTGCTCTATCAAATGATGGTAGAGTTATAGTTACTACTAAAACTAGGTAAGCGCTAGGCCTGTTTAAGAAAGACGATAATGAACGAAAAATAAGAAATATCGGTTTTGTCTATTCGCCGGTTTTCGACTTTGGGTCGCTCTGGGTAGCTAAAAAAGCGGCATATACACCTGAGACTATCCAGGTCGTTATTCATATTGTTACGTCTCCGTTTGTTAATTAACTTTCCGTAACTTCGTTCCG